TAACCTGAGTAAATGTTGTTTTTAAATGAAAGCGATTAAAGCCTACACTGCCCTGAAAGGAAATGCCCCCTAAACCCAGTAACTGGTTGAGCCACCTTTGATGGCATTAACTGCCAGTGAGTCTTCCAGACCTCCTTTGTGTTAATTCAGCAGATGCTGTGGGTTTCCAAGCTTAAGGTCATGCTAAATCATCTAAATTGGATTCTAGGCCATCCTAAAACCTTAAGTTTGCTTGTTGAGCCAATCAGAGGACTTGCTGGTATGTTTTAGGACATGGCCTTGCTGCATCACTCAAGTGCACTTGAGCATCAGTTCACCCAGCTGAATATTAGCAGCTGAATATTTTCCTTCTGGATTTTCTGGTACAGAGATTTCGTAGTTCCATCAATTATGTCAAATCGTTCAGGTCCTGAAGAAGTCAAACAGGCCATCACACTGCCACATGTCTCACTGCTGGTATGATGTTCTTTTTATGAAGTGCTGCTTTCATTTTGTGCCCGATGTAAACTTGTTGCTGTTGTCTCATTAGTCCCCAAAAGTCTTGGGGATCCTCAAGATGTTTTTTGCATTTGTGAGACGAGCCTTTGTGCTCTTTGTGTCCAGCAGGGTTTTCTCCTTGGAACACTTCAGTGGATGCTGATCGTCTTTCTTGTTGTTGAATCATGAACACTGATCATAACTGAAGAGAGTGAGGGCTGCAGCTCATGAGATCATTTCTGGCTTCTTTTTGTGACTTCCTGGATGCGTTGTTGAAGCCTCATTCTAAATGAAATCCTCTCCAGGCCGAAATATCTCAATGACTGTTTCTTGAGTTTCTTTGGGTCCTGATGAGATTTGTTGGTTAATAAACCTATTTAGGCATCTTCACTTTGTCTGACAGACAGTAACGGGTCTGGCAGTGGCCTGAGTGTGGCTACTGAAACTAAACTTGGCTTTCCAACAAAATGTGATTAACAAGAGAGGGCCACTACTGTTCTACTCATGTACGTTTTAGCTTTCTTCACTTAACACATTAAATCATCATTTCAAAAACACATTTTATATTTACTCAATTTAACTTGTATAATATAATAATAGGAATCTGATATATCTGCTTTTTTGTTTGTTCTTTTAATTTGTTACTTAATAACAATAAGTATCTGATTAACAATAATTATCAACTAACAGACAAGAATGAGTTTGTGTAAAGTTTATAACTAGCTAGCATTAGTAGCATTAGCACTTCACTAAAAAAATAATTGTCATTAAAGATTGTCTTTATTATTGATACACAATCTATTTCCAAATGCAAGAATGATAACTGCTGAATTTAAAAGGCTGACGATTAGGGAGCTGATTATTTAGGCCTAGAGACCAGTTCCTAAACGGTTTGTGGCATTAGCTGGGAAATCGATTGCTAAACCCCAAATTAAACAAACCTAGAGACTGCTCAGTGACCACCTGACGATGGGCAAAAGTGTGCACACTTTTGGAGAGTGGTTGCTGGAGATTGCCAGCAGTTGCTAGCTTGAAATTGGTTGCAAAGATAAATATACAGTGCGGCACCCAAAATCTCTTTGGAACTGATCAGATCATTAGCAGGTTTTTGTATTTATCCAGTGGAAGTGTAAGAAGTACGACCCAAACCAGAAGCACAGAGTGTTTGGCCTTAAAGTAAAAACAGCGTCTTTTGAAATGTGTTGGTTACAGAACAACATTTACGTAGAAGGCCAGTGTTCTCAGTTTGCGGTTTATGTCACACGAGTTTCATTACCGATTGAAGAGCAAATGGCAAGTGTTTGCAGACAAGTTGGAGGCTTTCATCCAAATAACAGGCAACTGCAGCAACCACATCAGCCTCTGTGCAACTGATATCACCTGGTGACAGCCAGCAACCACTTGCCAATCAGTCAGGGACAACATGATTTATCCTGCTAAATGAGCTGTCTCTTCATTTCAAAGACTGTGATGTTGTGAGTAGTTGTAGGGAAACAGTTATTTCAACGGTAGCTTGTGTGAGTTGTGTGGTTTATGGTAATCCCACACACCACATGATTAAGTTGAATTATACATTGTAAAGTCCACTCACTGGAGTTCACAGTGAGTGGACTGTTCCAATGATTTGCTGATTAAAAATGAAGCGCTTTGTTTGCGTGGTCGATGTGCAGTTGTGTTTTGTAATATTGTTGACACACATTTTCATGGGAATTTGAATGAATTCAAAGTTTTGTTTTTTCGATTACACTCTAAAGAATATTTTATGATCGCCGCCACTCTTTCTGTCACAGGAGCAGCAAGCTCTGTAGTTTAATATGAGATAATAATTTGATGTAATCCCAACAGTAATGAGAGCAGTATGGGGTGCAGACTGTATATCAAGGTCATGTTTGCCCAGGGGAGGAACCAGTGCTCTTAGCTCGGAGCAGGCATAGAGCATGATGGGATGCTATATTAAGAAGCTGCTAAAATAACTGTTAACATAACTGTGCATCAGAAAGGGAGTCTGAGACGAAAAGATCAATGCTGCATTCTTCCATTGAGCCCAGAAAAAATGCAAATAAACAAGCAGAGCGATGGTAGGTGTGTGGTAGGGTTACTATGACTGCAAACTAAAGCAATTTCACCTAAATCCTTTTGGGTCAAATGGTTCATATTGATAAGTGGGACATGTTAAAGTGCAAATGCATTAATTCAGTACAATACTTCCTTTTAGGTTGGGGGACTTCAAGGTTACCTCTGGCTCTTGGTACTGACATTTAATGCACTTAATGGCTTAATTTATAAAATGTACGTTAACATGTTGCAACAATAAGAAATGTAAAAGAGCTGCATTAACACACAGACAGTGAAAAACCACCACTTTTACCCAGAAGACAGATTTCAGGGACCGCTACTTGTATTTTTATATTTTACTTTTATTTTCAGCCTCTGTGTTGGTTTGGGCACTGAAGCTGTTGGTTAGGTTTAAGAATATATCCTCACCTCAGCACCTGTGTCGGCTGATTTGCTGAAACATTAAAGGACAATATGTTGTAGAGTTGTGCATGCATGCAGTGCATCAATTCTTCTAACTGGGAGGAAGAGGAGGAGGTAACTCTCATTTAAAAAAAACTACAGACGCCTTGCATTGTAATATAATGGGGTTGCCTTGTCATGGTCCTGCGCCACGTTGGCCCAGTATTCTTAATTTTCGTGCCGTGGTTCCTGGGTTCTGTTAAGATGCTCCTTACTTGATTACCCTCTGTGAGCCCTCGTCTCTCCTTGAGTTTTATTCCATGTGTTCCCCAGCCCGTTATGTCTGTGCTCTCTCTCTCTCCTCCTGTCTGAACCTCTGTGTACTTCCTGTTTTACTTTGACAGTCTCCCGTCAGTGTTGCGTTACTCCTGCCGTGTCTTGTTATGATTATCTGTGTCAGCTGTGTTCCCCGTGTGCTCCCACTTCCCTCGTTAACCCTCTGTGTATTTATGTCTGCGTCTCCCTCAGTTCTGTGTCGCGTTCTCCCGCATTCATGGCCGTGTGTTTCTCTGTGCAATATGTTATAGTTTCCAGTTTAGTTTGTATGGTTTTTCTGTCCAGCAATAAAGCTGTGTTTTGAGTTCAATCCTGCCTCCGTGCGTGCTGCGTTTGGGTCCTCATCCTGCCTGCACACAGCCACAACCATGACATGCCTTCACCCAACAAAAGAGTCAAATTGTATAAAAGTATGAGAAAATGATCCTGCTCACTTCATTTGTGACCTCAATAAACACTTTCCTGATGAGTTTATGGCCTCAATATTTTCAAGTCATTTTGAATACATGTTTATTTTGTCAATTTTATACACGTTTGTCACGTCACTACCACACTGAGCACGCAGCGTCCCTCAGTTTCTGAAGCATATGTCCAGAGTTTCAAAGCTCACCTTGAGGTTTCACAAACAGGATTTTTCTTTCAGTCTGTGTTCGATCAACATCGTTTTAAAATACGAACATGACTTTAACAGTAGCAGCAACACAGCTGTAATCCATACAGTTTGCAACCACTGAACATAATGATATGAATGAAAGGCCCAAAGGTCCAGGTGCTTCTCTTTTAGATCCGAATGTCCCTCAACAATTACCAATGTTGTTCATGCAAAAAGCACAAAAATCCCAGTGCACATATTCAAGAAATGCTCAGATCAGTTTGATTTATTAGCTCAGTTCTACAGTTTCTGTGGCTTAAAGATGGGTCTCTGTATTGTTTGGTGAAAGGACTCATAAATTTGCTGCTCCGTTCTCCTGTCTGTACTGCTTCCTATCCCTTGTGTTGATGCCACTTTATTACAATCACAGTAACAGTAATTTTATTTTTCAGCAGTTGAAATGATAAGCTTAGGCAACCCATTAAATTACAATGCAAGGCTTCTGTAGTTGAAATGATAAACTTTAGGGGTGCAAGTTCCCTAAAATACAAAACATAAACAACATGGGCTTTTCCAACTACTGCTGATGTCCACTTTCCCCACGTGAGTCATGTGCCACGTTTTCTAAATTGTGATTACCTCTGATTGAATATTTTGACACCCATCTGCGTGCATTGGTGGTCCAAAGCAAGAAAGAGACTCTGACCTTTCATGTCACAGATATACCTGGATGTTCTCTACATTGCAACAATAAAAAATACACAAATGATATTGAATTTTCACTGAGCTGCAGTTCTGGGTTTCTTTTTAACCGTGTTAACTCCACTGGACTACATCATGTGCATTTTTGCTTGTTTCACGTGCTTGTATCATGACCTTACTTTCTTTTTATAAGGCACCAACTGGACTCTGTGACTGGTGCAGCAAACACACGAGCACCTAAGCTATCCACGCGTGTACGTAACTAAAACAAGCTGCGTGATATTTATTGTTGCTTTTCTTTCAATCTTGGCTGCCTTCCGTTAATTTTCCGGTTAAGTATCAAACTGCTTCTAAAGTAAAAAGATATTTGGATACTGGCGGTGGCACTACTGCAGTCTTGCCATTTTCCTCATCAGTGCTCGTGCTGCTGGTCCAATATTCAGTCCAATACTGCAGCCTTTCTGGCAGGGAGCGCGCCTCCAAATTTACCCTCCCGCTGCGCTCGCTCCCCGTACCTTAAAAAACGCGTGCACGGCTGAAGGTCACTTAAACACAAAAGGCTTTCAGCGCTGCGGTCCAATATAGCGCATGCGCGCTGCCGGAGGACTGCTTCACAGACCGCAATATGGCGAGAATGCCTGGCAGCGGAGACACGGAGCAGGAGCAGATGAGCTGCCCCGAGAGGAGCAGGGATGAGGAGGAGGAGGAGGAGGAAGATGAAGATGAGATTCAGGAGGTCCAGATCACCGGGGAGGAGGAGGACGAGGAGTCCGACAGAGATGGAGTGGAGTGGGAGTCAGGGAGCACAGTGCTGGACTCCAGCGGTTCCGCCGCGCAGACACAAGCGGTCGTTATGCGGAGTATGGACCGAAGGGAGGAGGAGGAGGGGGAGGCGGACCCACTCGGCAGCAGCATCTCCTCCGGGCGCGAGTCTCACCCGGAGGGAGAACTTCAGCGGTCAGAGCGAAACAAGCTGAGCGAGAACACCCGCCTGGCCACCAGGTACGCCGTGAGGATCTTCAGGGAGTACCTCAGCGAGAAAGCCCAAAGTCCAGACTTTGAAACTCTGGACAAGGATGCGCTCTGCGCTGTGCTGCGCTCCTTTTACGCCGAGGCGCGCTCCAAAAGTGGACAACTGTACAGCAAGTCCTCCCTCATCAGCATCCGGAGCTCTCTCAATCGGTACCTGAACGAGCCGCCCTACTGCCGCACCTTGGACCTCACCAAGGACCCAGAGCTGCGCAGCGCCAACCTGACCCTGGCCGCGGTCATACGGAGGCTGGAGGAGCAGGGTGCCGGTCCGGTGGTGCAGAAACAAGCCATCACGCGCTCGGACCTGCGGAAACTGTACGAGTCCTCTGTGTTCAACACCGACACCCCGTTTGGGCTTCTGAACAAAGTCTGGTTTGAGACCTGCATGTATTTCTGCACCAGGGGAAGAGAGAACCAGCGGGAGCTGGAGGAGGACTCGTTCGGCCTGGCCGTGGACGAGGACGGAAGAAAGTTTGTGTATTTTAAAGCTCTCGGACCCTATCACAAGTCCCGCTCCGCCGCCTGGACCAAGAAGCGCCCGGACGCAGACGAGGACACGCTGCCGCGCATGTACGAGACGGGCACGGAGCAGTGTCCGTACGCCAGCTTCGTCCGGTACGTGTCCAAACGGAACCCGCTGTGCAGGGCGTTCTTCCAGCGGCCCCGGGACCACTGCTGCGCGAGCGACGTGACGTGGTACGAGAACAAAGCCATCGGGAAGAACCTGTTGGGCACGAGAATGCAGATGTTGTCGCGCGCTGCCAAGCTCTCGAAAACCTACACCAACCACTGCATCGGTGCCGTCTCCATAGCAACCCTCAACAGCATCGTGGGGGCCGCGGGCTTCAAGCCCTCGACGACGCTTTACGTTGCCTCGGAAACGGTCAATGGTCACGCGCAGTCCCACCTCCAGCTCGTGATCCCGTACCTGCGCAGGGTCAGCGACGCTGCGGATCTGAATCAGCAGCAAAGCACAGAAGCAGAGACGTCGAACACATCGCCTACATCAGCAGCAGCAGCGAGGAGGGAGAGCAACGAGGACGACCCGGGAGCTCCCTCTGCCAAGAAGCGCTGTGTGCGCCCCGGGACGCGCGCCGAGTCGCCCGCGGAGCCGAATGAGAGAGAGTCGGTGCCTGCCACAGCCACGGAGTCCCGTCTCGCACAGTCCGGCGCCCGGTCCCCTGTGCCCACAGAGGTAACCCGGAACATGTTGGTCCGTTTTCATCTGTTGGAGCTTCAAGCTTCCCGTGTTAAACCCGACAGGGAGTCAGTCCCGTACCGATGTGACGCCCATCTTTAGGAGGAGAGTTAGTTAAGAGCGCAATAAAATATTAAACTAGTAGGTGTTTAAGGTGGGCTGTAATCTATGAAAAACTTTATTTGAACTGCTTTATTAGGGGCTTAAAGTAAAATTAAAATAAACAGACGCTCAGGAAAAGCATACCTATTCGAGTTGGCTACCTTAGTGAGCACTCTGACTTTATTTCTCTTCTCGGGCAAATACAACTTGATGCCTTTAAGAAGTACATCAGTATCAGGGTGAACTTCCTGTTACAGGGACATCTGGGATCAGATCAGCCTAATAAATACAGAGAAATAAATAAAAACAAAATACAGATGCCGAACCATTGCACCCTTCATTTACAAAGCAATTCATCACTTTTGTGTTATTTTCACGTCGTATAATCTTGAACATGACATAAAACATCTGTAATCATGTAGTTTACTTCAGTGGTGCCACAGTGTGAAAATCGATGCACATAAAGACCTACAAACACTAACCTGGAAGCCTACTTAAGCGTTCAGTTCTTTAGATCTAGGTTGTAATTGGATACCAAAACATTACACGTGCTCAGTTTTTCAGTGAAATAATGAAAGTAGAATTTAGCTTAAAGTCCTGTACCAGAGTTTGTGCACCCTTTATTCTGAATTACAAACATATAAAAGCATTCGCACAACATCAGCTCTAGTGCTTGGTACGAGGGAAAATCATTACTTTGTAGTCACAAATGTTTATCACTAAGGGCTGCACAGAAATATGTACATGCATTTGTCTGTGAAGGCTCTCAGTCATGCAGGTCATCGTAGTCTAAGGAGCTCGGAAAGAAAAGCGTCTGGACTCGTTTAAGTTGCTTGAAGAAGTGGGTAAAAAATGATCTGATTGTACATTTTTATATTTTTGCTACTGAAGTTGCTCTGACGTAAACATAATGCAGAATTACAGAATCTCACCCTGTAGGAAACTGTTGTCCATGTGGCCCAATCATGTGAGGAGAAGCAGTGATTTGTCTTTGGGAGTGTCCCTCTGTTGCCAAGGGTAACTATACCTGCTGATGAATTTATCCACCATGCATTAGTGCCATAGCTGCAGGGTACAGACTGCTTGTTGGGCAGTCACAACACGCACACACACGCACACATGGATTATATAGATGTGATAATCTGTACCTGCTATACATCGTGTGAGGCCGGTGTCTCAGCTGTTTGTTTGCCCTTCATGGTGCTTACTCTGATATTTATTCATATGTAATTTGATGTACGTGTACATACAAGCAAAGAATTAAGCAAAATGTTAAAATTATGAATTAGACAGTTGAACTGTTTGCGCTCTCTGAGGTTAAAAAATTAAGGTCAAGGGAGACGAGGCAGGAATGTGAAAGGTCACAGCAGAAATCCTTTAACAACACCGAGTCATTCAGGAGGAGCTCGGAGTAGAGAGACTCGTCCTCCACATTAAAAACTACCAGCTGAGGTGTTTTGGGGATTTGTCTAAGATGCCTCTTGGATGCCGTCTAGATGAGGTGGTTCCTGTATGCTCTTCTGTAAGGAGACCCTGGGAAAGCCCCAGAACAAGCCAGAGAAGAGTTTGTCTACTGTCTGGCTTGGAAACACCTCAGTGTCCTCTTCAGAGAGCTGGAAGCACTGGCAGGAAGAGGAAGGTCTGCTTATCTCTGCTTAAACCGCTGCTTACACTCTTACGCTGCTGTTTTCTTTAGCAGTGCCGGTCGTTGATTACTTAGCAAGTTAATCCCTTACATATTCATCTGTAGCCCTTATTGTAGAATTGCTCCATATTATCATAACATACAAACTGGCACAGTGCTACAGCTTATGTAGCCAGTAACAGCAAATGTTCAGGGCATATCCTCACTGCAGACCATTCACATTTAGTGTTCAGTGTAGTTGAACTGACATGAACACCATCGTTTGGAGCAGAACAGGTTTGAAAGGAGCCGTTGGAACAGAATGAAAGGAAACGGCGGATCAGTCTAGAAGAGCAGAGTGAAAGCCCAGAGGACGTGTGTTCCCAGCCTGTCAGCCACTGGCCTCCTACCAGGCTGCCAATTGTTTCTTTCAGAGCTTAATGATTTGTTTCGTGCCAGACACCTGGCACTATAACGTAGCCTACAAGGCAGTCAGGAATAGCTCTGACCGAGCCGTATCTGTGAGCCTGACAGGATGTCCTTGTGCTTCTTAGCTTCCTGTCAGGCTCCTGGCTTTACCTGACAGTCCCGAGTCTGCCTGGCAGGAACTGTTCTAAGCAACCAGCGCCTCTGTAAAACTGTTCAGGTCAGGTTTGCTTGCAGGTTTTTATACAAACATCAACGAGACCCAGTTTGGCTTCAAGCGCAAAACATCTTTCAGGAGCTGCAGATAGATGCATTTATTATGGAGCATGACTTCATGACAACACGCAGAGATTTCTCTAGTTTAACCTGCAGCAACCAGCTGTTCACATAAAGGTTGAGGGTGCTGCACTTCGGGTTGCAGAGGTGGTTGTGCAGTTCGCCTTGTTGTCTCCAGCCTGTCCAGCTCGGTGGCAGAGAGAGGTTTGCAAATAATTGCTGCATAATTTATAAACACAGATTGCCAACATGTTGCAATCAGTTACATTTGCTCTGCAAGCGGTCGCAAGTTAATACATAACTCGTGGGCGGCGATGAAAATGAGTGTGCTGAAGGGGACAAATCTCCCCTCTTTGCTATATTTCCTGCCTCTCCTCGATCATTTTGATTTATCACAGATTGCACGTAAACGAAAACTTGATCCAAACTGATAGCAGGCTGCCTTGTTGCTGCCTTGTTGCTAAATTGTTGTTTAAACAGACACATAGCAGTTCCATGACTTGGTGATAAATATGTTCCAATGTATTAACTGTAAAGATAACCTATGTCCATGGATGTGGAGATATTCATGGCTATGTTTGGTCTTTTTTTCATATACTGGCACCACCATCACTGCAGCGTGTATTTGTGTCCCAGGACAGACGTAGCAGCGGCAGCTGCAGCAGCATGTCGAGTCAGAAGCTGGCTTCTTGGTCTCCGATGTCTCCCCCGTGTACCACGGGAATCCCAGCACCAGCTCAGCTCACCAAAACCAACGCACCAGTCCACATTGATGTAGGAGGACACATGTACACCAGCAGCCTGCCCACACTCACCAGGTACCCCGAGTCAAGGTGAGGCACACATCCAAGCTTTTAAAGTACATTCCCCCCATTAAAATACACAGGATGGCTGGTGGACGTATGAGTAAAGCTAAGGCTGTAATCCACCTCAACACCTCAATATCAAAAGCTCTTAATCAACAAATTAGTTCAACGTTACTGATTATTTGGAATATCTGCTACCTTAATTATCACATTTCAATGCAAATGGATATTTTTCCTATGATTCAGGAAACCGAATTTTAGTATATTGAGTTGGTTTTAATGGCTTCTCTGCAAAATATAGAAAGAGTTTGCTTTTCAGTTATTTGTTCAGAAAGTTTAAATCTGTGAATCGTTTAAGAGGCAGCGGTGATCTACTTCCTGCTTCATGGGGAAAAGGTGGCCTGCTGTCCACACATTAAGGAAAATGCAGATATCTCAGCTCATCAAACAGCGAAGATTTGATTAAAGAAGCCTCATAATCTCGATCACTGTACACTGTTACAATAAACTTGATCATCTTTGAACCTACTTTTTTAAATTAACTTAGCATTTACCCTTCAGTGAGCTAGGAAAGGATTTAGCTGCAACATGTACATTTCAATTTAGCCGCAGCTGAGTGTAGAAACCTGTTTCCTTCTCTTTGGGCAGAATCGGGCGTCTGTTCGACGGCACAGAGCCCATCGTGTTGGACAGTCTAAAGCAGCACTACTTCATCGATCGGGACGGGGACATGTTCCGCTACATACTCAACTTCCTGCGAACCTCCAAGCTCCTCCTGCCTGATGACTTCAAAGTGAGTGCCTGATCAGGTACTTCCACAGTTCACCGCTGCTGCGTGACCTAAAGCAGGGAAACAAATGTCAAAAGAAAGACTTGAACCTCTGTCAGAGTCTCACACGAGCCTGTCGCTTACAGTACTGAGACTTCTTTGAGTGACTCTGTTGCCCTTTTCTGTATTTTCTGTCATATTCTCTCAAACATCATAAAAATGACCAATAGATAAACTGCAGTAAAATAAATGAGTATTTGTTCCATTACTCTAGGAAGGCGACAGGTTATGGCAGCAAAATGACCCCAGATCTCAAAACTGATTAATGCATGGAAGGATTTATAGTAGCAGTGGCTTAATGTTTGCATCAGGGAAATTACCTGTTATCAACATTGTGAGACTTCAGGCGAGAAACAGGTAGCAAGTCCGTGCCAAAGACACATTCATTCTCTTCATTAATTCTTCATCACAATTATGACAGCCCAAACAGAAACTGCCTGCAGCCAGCGTGTGCAAACTTCTTCATTGGCTTGTAGCAGCTTTCAAATGAATCAGAAGGTTTTGTATGTGATTTGTTTATAGAATAAATGAAAACGAGTCTTCCTTCGGTTAGTGTGTTAGCAGCAGAGCAGCTGCTACCAAGGCTTTAGTACACCTTTAGTACTAAAGTACTGAACGAGCATTTATATGTGTTAATGCATTTTTTAAACTTTGTTTTTTGCAAGAAAACGTGGAGTTTTCTGCATTTTTTGGTGGGTGTTGTGTACTCATCTGCATGTGTGTGTATTTGTGTGCATTGTGCGTGTTCTTTTGGCCTGTGTAAGTCTGCACTTATGCTTCTGAGAGTGTTTTCTTGTTTCTGCTGTGTGTGTGTCTGCAGGAGTACTCCCTGCTCTACGAAGAGGCTACTTTCTTCCAGCTGGCACCTCTAAAGACCGAGCTGGAGCGCTGGAGGGCTGAGCAGGAGCGCCGGGACGTTTCTCGAGACTGCGAGTGCGTCGTGGTCCGCGTGACGCCGGAGCTCGGTGAGAGGATCAGTGTGAGTGCATCCCGGGCGCTGATGGAGGAGATTTTCCCTGAGGTGACTGATATCGTCTACAGTTCTATGAACGCCAGCTGGAACCAGGACCCCACACACGTGCTCCGCTTCCCGCTCAACGGCTACTGCCACCTCACCTCAGTTCAGGTACATAACATCCTCTGAGCCACACTGGTTTATATTCTCTCAACATGTCAGATGCTGGAGTGAGCAACGCAAAGCATTTAGGTACAGTGGGGCAAAAAAGTATTTAGTCAGCCACCGATTGTGCAAGTTCCCCCACCTAAAATGATGACAGAGGTCAGTAATTTGCACCAGAGG